TGCATATGTACTGATTCCAGGTTCTTCGGTGATGCTGAGTTTTTTGTGGTGACATGTAATGGTTAAACTGAATATTTTCAGGGTTTCTGACTGTTGATTGAAGAAAATAAGACCCTTTAGGCCCCTCGTTAAAGTGCATCTGGCATTTTTTCATTATTTATTTGACCATTTTGTAAACTAAGCTGTTGTTCAGTTAATCTGGTGAGAATTTGAAATGCCTTGCAGCCCTTTAGACTATAATTTAATAATGACACCAGCCAGATGAATTTATAATATCAGTGTCTAGCTAAATTATCACATTCCTTAATAACACAGCAGGATCTGACTGCAATGTTATAGTCTAGTTAGTCATAGACCAGTCATAGTCCTTTTTACTGGAAGGCACTTTGGTTTAGCAGCTGTTGACTTAACATGCATGTTTACGATCTTATTTATGCTTTTATTATTTGTCACATTTAACATTTGTTTTGAAGTAAAGCGCTTTTAAGCTTTAACGTATATTTTATAGTAGGGGGTTGCACCGTTCTTCTTGACTGTTACGCTTCTATTTCAGTAATCCACACCATTCTCTGTCTGATCTTGTCCCATAGAGATGAGTGACATCTGGTCGGTCTCCAGTGCCAACTCCCAACACGAGAAGATAGCCAACCTGGCAACCGTAACCAAACACTAACATCTGCCTCCGCTGAGCTGCACACTGCCGACATGTAAGACCTCAGTGAAACACTTCATCACACCCCATTTGTCTTGAAGTGGCTGTAACATCATCAGCGTTCTGCACAGAAGTCAAATGTTCCTCTCAGGTTGATTGTTAAGTGATTTTACCTCAGAAACTAAAGCGTTTAGCTACAGCTAGCCTGTTGTTGACTAAAGTTAACTAAACTGAACTACCAGAATCGCTGAAGCTCAGTAAACCTGTTGAATCTTTGTGCGTTAACTCCGTCCGGCAGCCGCTGTTTTAGGCTGATCATTTTACAAACCTCCACTTAAACCTGCAGTGAGGAACTTCTGTCGCCCCCTTCTGGAAGCGGGGGAAATTGCACAAACACAAGTGCTTGTGAGGTATGACTCACTGTTAGACTGGAATCCTTCCTCTGAAATCTGAGTTTCTTTTATATCTGCAGCATCACGAACTTTTCTTGGATGCTTCCTTGGTTTTCCCACCGTATTTGTAGTTGATTTATCCTCCAACTCCAGCATACTGCAAAACTGGTTCAATCAGTACTAAGGGAATTTGTTTGGCTTGAATGTAACAGACATTCATTTAAATGTTGAAGTGTTGCATTCCAGCTTTTGCAATGCCGCATGTAACCATCACAGAATTATGATAAATGGCCTAAAGTGAGGAAGACACTTGTACTATTACATTTATCCTCATAAATCTCTTCGTTTAGTCCTCTCATGAAATGAGGACAACTAAAATATGGTTGTTAAACTCATAATTTTCTTGGTTCATACAAGTGTATGAAAATTTCAGGTTGATATGTAGAAGTAGGGTTGGACAGTAGGGGGTTAAATCCATGAAAAACCAAACCAAAAGCGTGAAGGCAAAACACTAATGATTCTTATTAAAATATGAAATTCATCTCTTTTATCGTTCAGCGAGGTTCTCTGCCTACTAAAATCACTTGCATTTACATAAGTGTGGCCCATTTTAAAAAGAAGCAAAGCTCCATGTGCTCTTTGTAAAATGTCATTTATTCACTGCTACATAAAGATACGTGGTCACATCCAAAAAAACAAAAAACAAAAACTGATTATGACTTGATGCTTAAAAATCAATTCTAACTGTTCACATATTTAGCAAAAAAAACCAAAAAACAAAAACCTGACAAATGAGAATAAAATCATTGACCGTCTACAGTATGTATACACATGGAGATGCTCTGAGACCAAAACTACTGTGAATCAACTCGGAACAAAGATGGTGTTTGTAGTTTGTGGCACACAGATGGGCTGCTTCTTGCACGAGTACCAATGCAATAAAAAAATCATTGTTTTAATTCAGATTGCCTCATAGCTTGTCCAAGTTTGACTGTATAAATTGTCAAACCGATCAAAAAACACAAAGATCTGAAGGGTCGTTGTTGAATGATATGTTGCCTTTGGTCTGTTTTTTTTAAAAACATCATTGAAACAATTCTGAACATAAATAAGGATGCATCTGAAAAATGAAGCTACTTACAAGACAACAAAATAAAAAGCAACAAGAAGACTTCTGAAGATTTTGGTCATAATGGTAGTTTTCCTGCTCAGTTATCTTTAGTTGTTGTTTTAATAACAATGTGAAGCAGGAGCTCAAAATCAGGACCTGTATTTATCAAATGTCACAGGATCGCTCGTAAAATTCGACTAAGACCAAAAAAAAACTTGTGTCTCAGAGTAGGACTTGAGTCATTTCTAAAGCTTCCAACATGTCTGCACTCTGTTTGCATGACAACATGACTAAAAACTCCTTCATCTTGAACAGACACAGAGGAGATCAGAGACAAGGGGAGGATAAGACCTTCGTTTTAGCAATGTTAAGAGCTGCAAAGTAGCAAATAAACAGGAAAACAATTTAGAATAAAGGTCATAAATCAAAAATATGACAACTGAGGGCTTTACTATGAAGCCAGATTAGTGGGTTATTGAGGTATGTTGAGCCTAAAGTCAGAGTTTTCAATGTCACTAAGGTGGCTCTTTTTTTACCTGCTAGATCTCCATGGTAACTGATGCTGTGGCGCTAACCTGGTCGGAAGCAGGTTATGTTCAGAGTTTCAGATTTAAATCGGTTGGAAAGAGCGTCTCCCTTTAACTAAATAATTTCCTGACTATCATTTATGAGTGATGCAGATTCTCAGCTGAGGGAATGTGTTTTATCTGCAAGCATGCTGAGTTGTGCGTTAATATCACTGAATGAAGCCGTGTAGTATTATCTATTCACCGCTTAATCCTCACCAGGGTTGCGGGGGGGGCTGGAGCCTATCCCAGTTGACTTAGGGTGAAGGCAGGGGACACCCTGGACAGGTCACCAGTCTATCACAGGGCTACCCTTAGAGACAGACAACCAAGCACACTCACATTCACACCTATGGANATATACCTTTTGGAATTATGTCCAAAAAGTTCAACCTTGGTTTCATCAAACCATAACACATTTTCCCACATGCATTTGGGAGATTTCAGATGTCTTTTTGCAAAATTAAGCCGGGCTTGGATGTTTTTCTTTGTAAGATTTGTCTTGCCACCCTACCCCATAGCCCAGACAAATGAAGAAGACGGGAGATTGTTGTCACATGTACTACACAGCCAGTACTTGCCAGAAATTCCTGCAGCTCCTCCTGTTGCTGTCGGCCTCTTGGCAACCTCCCTGACCAGTTTTCTTCTCGTCTTATTTTGGAAATTTTGGAAGGACGTCCTGTTCTTGGTTGTCACTGTTGTGCCATATTTTCTCCACTTGATGATGATGGTCTTCACTGTGTTCCATGGTATATTTAATTCCTTGGAAATTCTTTTGTAGCCTTCACCTGACTGATATCTTTGAATAATGAGGTCCCTCTGATGCTTTGGAAGCTCTCTGTGGACCATGGCTTGCGCTGGAAGATGTGGCTACAAAAATGTCAGGAAAAGCCTACTAGAGCAGCTGAACTTCATTTGGGGTTGATCAGAGGAACTTTATTTGGTGACGGGTGTGTGCTGACTCCAGTTTAACATGAGATTGAATGTAATTGGTTAAATCTGAACACAGTCACATCCCCAGTTATAAAAGGGTGTGCACACTTATGCAACCACATTATCTCAGTTGTTTATTTTTACATTACCTCCCTGAAAGGTTTCAGTTTGTTTTTAATTGCATTGTACAGGTTATAAGTCACATTAAAAGTGGAAAATGTTGTGAAATTATTTATCTTGATGTAATTTTTTTATATGACAAAAACCTGGCATTTGAATAGGGGTGTGTAGACTTTTTATATCCACTGTATAACAACTAATAGAACTGGCTTTTGTGCTTTCCAATTCAAGTGAATGAGACTAAGACTAAGGCTTTCAAACGAATTATAACTAAGTTTTGGTCTCTGGTTAATTAATAGCACTTTTTAAAACAGAAATGCATATGTACTGATTCCAGGTTCTTCGGTGATGCTGAGTTTTTTGTGGTGACATGTAATGGTTAAACTGAATATTTTCAGGGTTT